CTGCTGCCTGGCTTTCATTTCAGAGTACTCGATAAAATAATCTCAGAGAACGATTTATACACGATCTGTATCGAAGAGATACAACCGCCGTTTCCACTAGTTGCACCACCATTTTGAAAGAAACGAATAATTCGCTAGTAATTCGTACCACTAACAATTGTATCCGGATCTAAACCTAGATCTATATGATTCGAATGTATCCCATTAATTAGATGCACTTTTATTAAAGATGATGGTATGGGTGTGGGCATGTCAGCAGTGGACGACAGGACCAATCGATTGGAAAAGCGTTCCCTTTCAAGCAGAAACGGTTCATCCGTCCCTCTCCCTCCACAAAATCATGCATGGCAAGGAAAACTGGAAAAGGAAGAACGAATATATATACATCTATCACTCATCGTCTTTGTAATTGACATCTTCTTATGTGGATGTGGTGGGTGTGAGTGTGTGTGTGTGGGTTGTCGGTGTGGGGGGTTCTCTCTCCTTCACCCACACCCCATTCTTTTTTGAATTTTGACAAGAAACGTTTAGTTACTGTGATAGTTGATGATGAAGCAGTTGTAGATTTTGAATTGTTTTTTAATGAAACAGAATTAGAACTTTTTACTAGTTGTACTAAAGGTTGTGGTACAAGATTTTCCTGTAATGAATTTGATACATAATCGATCTGATATTCTTCCATGGAAAACATTCGATAAATATTCGAAAGGTTCTTTCTTTTTACTTACAGTATACAAGTTTGTTAGATGGCGTCAGCTCTCAGGTGTTATCTTTTTCTTCCTGTCATCGTTGTGACGTCATCATATATATGTATATGTTTCATCTATATATTCTTTCGTTTTATCGTTATGCGTGAATAGATATATGTTCACTGTTCCAGTATGTTCCAGCGTATCCGTTTCTCTCTATTGTTCTTGTATGTTCTCAGTGGTACTCTCGTGTGAGTTCTGGAACTTCTAACACATTCCTGTTGTTCCGAACCCATGTATATATATACCCCTCCGCTCGCAATAATAAAGTGGATTGTACATACACGTTAAGATAAACTTCTCTCTGACTTACAACTGGTTAGTGGTTGATTACCTTTACAAGCTGGTATAAAATTTGTTTATATAAGTCATAACCTTAGCTTAGCGATATCAAAAAGAACAAAACGTTTCCTCATTGGTGAGGGTGAGTGTGGGTGTGGGGTGTGGGACGTGGGTGGATGTGGGATGGGTGTAAGTATGGGTGTGGGGGATGGGTGTGAGTATGGGTGTGGGGGATGGGTATAAGTGTGGGTGTGGATGCGGGGGATGAGTATTAGTGTGGGGAATGGGTGTGAGTATGGGTGTGGGGAATGGATGTGAGTGTGGGTGTGGGGGATGGATGTGAGTGTGAGTGTTGGTGTTAGTGTTGATTCAGAGCACACCAAAACCACAGTCACACATTCATTCACATCCACACCCCATACCCCAACACCCACCCACCATCCACACCCACACCCCAACACCCACCCACCATCCACACCCACACCCCAACACCCACCCACCATCCACACCCATACCCTACACACACCTACTCACACTCATGTCCACACTCTCAGCGTCACCCACACTCACATTCGCATTCACATTTCACACCCTTTATTTTGTATAATTACAATTATCAAATTATAAATATTTTTCATGCAATTGTGAATGCGCAAAAGAACGCTTCACCTAATGAACATGTTGTTGTCGTTAATTATGACAATTTACATTTTACATAAACGATAAACATGTTTATGTAGCGTGGCAGTTATTGAAGCGTAGCAAACGAAAATGAAGTAGTTATAAAATAACAGAGGCATGCATACTCGAGTGGACATAAAAATAATGAGTATGTCATCTAAGCAATTATCAAACGAGCATTGGTATACGAGCAACAAAATAAACATAAATACCGAGGATTGGAATAATTTTGAACTACAATATGCTGACAATTTGCCTACATTCCATGATTATGATACATATAACAGACAAGATCACTATCAGGTGCGTATAAAGAATTCAATTCCTTATAGTATATTCTTGAAAAAGATGTGTCTATTGACATATGCATTGAAGCTGTGAATTGATAAATCTTCAATATTGTCTTTATTAGAATCATCAGCATCATGAGCATCGTGATCGTCGTCATCCTGAGCATCGCGATCGTCGTCATCATGAGCATCGTGATCGTCATCATCATCATCACCATCACTCACCGAGAAAACCGAAGATACATAATCAACAAAAATCAAACGAAAAATCAGTACAATATATCGATCCATCAAACCAACAATCGATTATAAACTTCAATAACTTAAACATGAATCATCTACCAAACGTAATACCTGATGCTTTCTACAATGAAAACCAACATACACAACACGTGAATGATAATGGCCCAAAGAAGCGTAAAAAAAAAGTCACTCGAAAAAATGTCGAGATCATCAATGACTCAATGAATGACTTGAACGAACTGGTTTCGAGCTTAGGTGAAAAAGAAAGAGTTAATCAAGGTCATGTATATGTACAAGATAGGAATGTTGATTATACATCTGGTCATAATGAGACCGAAAAACAGCGAGTTGCACAACCTCCTGTCGTGGAAGAAAATAAACAAGTTACTAGTGAAGCCGAAAAGCTTGGAACAGATGAAGCTCCAATTATTGAGTACGCCGAAGAGCCATTGTTACCTCTCGTCGATGCATGCGCTCCACTGATTGATATTCTTCACGATTTATCAGTCTATGTTAATATGGCACTTGAAGAAACTCCCGAAGAACCACCCGATGGACTGACATTTAATGAGAGCGCTGCCATCCGACTTTACACGATCGAATGGACATCGCCACATCGAAGTCTCTATTCAATGCTTAATTATACATTGAAGAACTGCAGTCGTGAAGAACTTCGACCTTATTTCAAGTATATGAAACTATTCTTGACTGCCTTAGTCAAATTACCATGCTCTCCATCATTGACTGTCTGGAGAGGAGTAACTAAAAATTTGAGTGCCGAATTTCCACCTGGTACTCCAGTGACATGGTGGTCATTTTCATCAACCACAACCGAACTGAGTGTGCTTGAAAATACAATGTATTTGGGCACTACAGGTGCACGGACACTGTTCTCTGTTGAAGCCATCAATGGACGAACAATTCGTGCTCATTCGCATTTTGTCACTGAAGATGAAATTTTGCTTCTGCCCGGTACTCACATGATAGTTCAATCGCAATTTAGTCCAGCATCTGATCTTTATATTATCCACTTAAAACAGGTCATACCGAATGAAACACTACTCCAGCCTCCTTTTGAAGGTACTTTGAGTATTTTCTATCGTTTTTTGGAAATTAACTCTTTCTTTCATTGCTAGGCGCATGCTTATATCCAAAAAACACGTGAGTTTCGTTTTTGTTATTATCAAACTATAATTTTGACTGATCTTTCTTTTAATTAAATGATCTAGGCGTCCATGGTATCGCAAGAAGCGAATTGTTATTCCATTGGCTTTATTGGTGACTATGTGCATCGTAGCAACCGTTATTGGTGCTATTCTTGGGACACGAGCAGCAAATAAAGAGCCACGTATGTATGCGGTTTTTGATGTTCTTTAGTTCTTTTTCAAGCTAATATATGTGTGCACATCAAAAATACTCCATTTGAGTTTTAAATCGAATGTAATACTTTTCCTTTCTTTACTTCTACCTTAAAAGTCTGCTTTTCTGATCTCTTCAGATATGCAGCAAGATATTCATCGATCGCATATCTATGCCAAATTGAAAGATATGCATCTATTGAATGATCATTGATATTATAGAAAACTTTGAGCTTAAAATAGGGGTGGCACTTTAACTTTAAAAACACTTTAAACTTTAATTAAAGTGAAACACTTTAAACTTTAAACTTTAATTAAAGTGAAAAATTTTAGAACTTTAAACTTTAATTAAAGTTTAAAGTAAAACACTTTAAAACTTTAAACTTTAATTAAAGTAAAAATTTTACCACTTTAACTTTAACTTTTTCTTTAAAGTTCAAGTGTTTGTGTCATGCCATACTATAGGGGTACCCTTAGGTCCTCAACTGTCATACTATAAGGGTAC